GAGGGTTTGTATCCACTATTTCGGTTTCATTTGATTGAAAATGATATTTCGAACCTGTTGAATGACTGTGTTCTGAATGCCGAGGCTGAGATATCACAGCAGATACTTTGATTTCCTTTTAACTTGCAAAATAGGAACTTAATAATCATCCAGTTTAGAAATATATATGTCCAACTGTTCACTAGTTTCCTCTATGTTGTAAAGGGATTCTCTGGTGGCTGTAGTGTGCACAAAGCATAGCACATTCAAGCTTTCTCTTGCTTTAAAGTACCTTATTTGTACCTTTTTGTGTCCAAAGTTTGCACAGCTGCCCGATATTTTAGTAGAGATTATAATCTGAATTGAGGAGAAACATATTCTAGCCTCTTTTTGTAGCTTTTCCCCCTCATAACTATGTCATAATGCTGAGGGAAATAAGCAACAATAAGAGGCAGCTCTTCTGTTTCTTAATACTCCTCAGCTCTCACTCCACTGTTGACATTAAAGCACATGTAATAAACTGTATATAGAGAATGTGTAGCTGTTGGTCAATTTTTGGATTGTGTGGCCACGTTGGGTTCACGCACGAGGGTGGAGTTCACCTCTCTTTGTTCAGTCAGAGCTTACTTACAGATAACAACTCCGAGGAACTGTAGGAAGCAAAGTGAGCTCCAGCCTTCTACACTGCTGTGAAATCTTCACTGTAATGCACTGGTTTGTCAGAGTGTATGTGTCCTCATTAGCACAGATATATGAACTGAATCTGATGTACAAAAAAATAAATAATTTTTATAAAGAACATCACCATTTCTCTTGCATTTTGTTCAGACAAAGCACGCATCAGAACTGTGATCTGTTTAATACACTGCTCCCAATCTGTCGTTAACCACATCCCAAAGGTGCTCTACTGATTGAGATCTGGAGATTATGGATGCGATTTGAGCACTGTGAACTCGCTATCATGTTCAAGAATGATTTGAGATTTGCCAGATGGTGTTATCCTGTTGGAAGCAGCCATCAGAAGATGGGTAGCAACAATACTCAGGTAGCTGTGGTGTATAAATGATGATTCGTTGGTACTGAAGGTCCCAAAGTGTGCCAAGAAAATATCCTCCACACCATTTTACCACCAGCAAACAGAACCTTTGACACAAGGCCAGATGGATCCATCATCTCAAAGCAGTCTGGTTATACATTCATCATCCAGAAAACTGCCACTCAATGGTTATCTTCTCCTTTTATGATGATTCTGTGTAAACCTTAGAGATGTTCACAGAAAAATCCCAGTAAACTTTCACATCATCAGTTTCTAAAATACTTAGACCAACACCATCAACTATGCCAACCTCAAACTCCAGGTGGTCTTAAGCATGTCTTCATGCATAAATACATAACCTGTGGGTTAATTTAAGTTCGTACCATGTGTCTGGATGAACGTGAAAAACATAATACCTTCTTCCAGTCTTCAGTAGTCCAACGGCGATGTTTCATGGCCCAACCCTCTTTGTGTTATTCTGACGTGTTAGCAGTGGCTTTCTTGCTGCAACTCGTCCTGTCAAACCTGCAGCTTGAAGTCTTGTCTTCACAGGTGAAATGCAGGCTTGCTTACTATCACCACTATTAAGCTGTGCTTGAAGCTGTTGTCCTGTGATGATAGGCAGTATCACACGAACTGTTAACTCTCAGAAACTCATCCTCTGATTCAGTTGTGGCTTTGGGTCTGCCAGACCGCTTCCCGTGACAGTTTGCCCTAGTTTCTAAGTGCCTTTTGATGGTAAAGGAAACTGCGCTCACTGACACTTTTTTGCAAGTTCTCTGTAGGAAAGACCTACATTTTGAAGTGTTATGATGGTCGGTCTCTCTTCCATTGTTAATTGCCCTTTTCTAGCCATTTTTGTAGCAACACACTACTTTCTGCAGTACAATACTGTTCAACTGATGCTCACGAGCGGATGGTACCACAGTGTGTTTATGCAGACAAAGGGGGTTGTAAGTAATCCAGAAAAGTTGGAACATCTGTAGGAATTAGTAGCATCAGCTTTTGAAGCTTGATCAACTTCCATTGCTGCAGAGCAGCTTTAAATTGTTAACCCATTTTGTGTTCCCAGAAAAGGGCCTTTTTTATGATTCTGAAATGTACATTATTTTTCACTTTTGGGTAAACTTAGCGTTTTGTTCACCACTTACCTTTGTACCATTTAAGCTATTAGTTGGATTTTAACAACTTGAATTGCAATAAATAACTGGGAAATAAATTGGGATGTTCTAAAACTTTGGTCCTGTAGTGTAGCTATATATTGTTGTTTCCTTTTATAATGACAAAATAAGGAGTATGCACTGAAGCAGTTCATCTAAAAGTAATGGTCAAATAAAATGCAATGCAAGCAATCTGTGCTAATAACCTGTCATATGTCACGAACAAAAGGATTTATCTGGGACACAGGCCCTTAAAAATGTATTTGTTTTTTATGCTGAGAGAAAATCTTTTGTTTACACATATAACTTATGCTATGTTTCAGGCAAAATGTGGTTATAGAATTGGTGCATCACAGCAGCGCAGTCCGGGTCGAGTGATTTTATAGCAGACAGCGCCGCCTAGTGTTCATTCACAGCACTCACCCATAAGTGACACTGGGAGGGGAAGCAGTACAAACTGTAAGCTGCTGGGGGATCCATCTTGCCTGAAAAAACAGACCAGGCTGAAGGATTTTTCAGTTTATTGACTCAAAAACTGCATCGTTCCCCATTACACGTGTTGGGGAGCCCGAGGAGGGGGCTGTGTCGCTGTTTGTAGGATGTCCCGACATGAGGGTGAGTTGATAAACAGGTCCACGGCGCCCCGGTTGAAGGCTACATTACCTGAGCAGCTAGCTTCTGGGGCTAGCTTTGCTAACTGCTTGCTCATGTCTGAGAGGGTTGTTGCGCTTTTCGCCGTGTGTTACTAGGCTTGTCCCTTGTCGTGTGTGTTTACTGTCAGCAGTTCTGCTGTACACACCTGTCTCGTGTTTTCTAAATCGAGGCTGGAGCGTTTTTACTTCACTCGACCTATTCGCAAAAATACGGCAGCAAAGCAGCAGTTAGCCGTTGCTAGGTACTGCGTTACCTTACATTAGCCGGGCTAGCGAGCAAGCTAATGTATGCTAATTCAAGGAGTCGTTGGTTTACCTGTGACTTTTTCGTTACTTATACCGGCACTGATAAGTTATTCAGCGTCTTACATCCCGATATTGCTGTCACAACATTTTGCTCATATTCAGAGTATTTATTCATTGAGAGCTTGGAGCTATTCAATTAGCGCCATACTGTCCCGTCTGGTCACACACTGCTGTTAGCGAATGCACTGTCATCAAGAAGACTGAAAGTCTAAGGCCTCTGACTGTATAACCAGTAACTAAGTTGGCTAACTAGCAGCCTGCTCTTAAGCAGGGTTTAAGTTACGATCAGTGTAACCAAAAACTTCAGCTTTGGCTAATTTCATTCAAACATTTCAAGACCTGCCAGGTGTTGTCCCGTCAAATAGCCTCGGAAGTTTTAAAAGAAGCACTATAATGCAGACATGATCGCAGTAGCTTTGTTGACCATTCTTGGACCGAGGGTGAATTATCTGAGGTTATATGTTCAAGGTACACCAGAGGTGTCTAATAATCTGCTTCGTGGTCCTCTGCTGGACCAGTTAGTTTTTCAGCTGAGACTAGGATTGTGCAGATGGTTAAAATTCCTTTTAAGCAAGATACTCAGTTACTTATCCTGTTGAGCTTGCTTCTGTCTAACCAAGCCTCTAAGTAACTCCCAAAGCGGCCTGTTGCAGTTTGATTGGTTTCTTTATGTCAGCATCTGTTTAATAACAGATATCTTTTGTGCATATTGTTCCTTCAGGTCTCTGTTGTTAGATGTGAGATGAGTCAGAGAAAACTCCCTTAATACTTGTTTACATATTTACTAATACTTGCCAAATAAGGCACTCTGTAATGTCAGGAAATGTCAGCATGATGTCTCATTGAAAACAGCTTTTTTTCCCCTTTCTGCCTATGCCCAGTCCCAGTCCCCCACCCCCCCCAAACCAATTTAGGTGTTGTCGATCTTGGGGGGGGGGGATAAAAACAAGGAGCAGCCTGCTGCCTGAAAAAGAGTGAACTGTGTTAAAAGTGAGCAATGAAAGCTGCTTTCAGATAAATCTGAGTTGGTTGTGAAGTCTGCTGGAATGTCAGCGTTCTTCATTGCTGGCACTTGTTGGTTGGTGCCACTCCAAAACGCATGCTTGTGTAAGTGAGACTGGCCTGCAGATATGGGATCGCCTTCTCACAGTCAACCTCTGAGACGCCTTTATAAGGAATTTGTGAAAGTATTATAAGGTCCACGTGTTTTATTTCCTATTCTCCGTTTCTGTTTTGCAGGTGTGAGCTGCGATGCGTGTTTAAAGGGCAACTTTAGAGGAAGACGGTTCAAGTGTTTAATTTGCTACGACTACGACCTGTGCGCGTCGTGCTACGAGAGCGGAGCCACGACAACAAGGCACACCACAGAGCACCCCATGCAGTGTATATTAACCAGGGTAGACTATGGTAAAGACCTAACTCTGTGGGTTTCTGATTATATGCATAATCACCATGCCTGTTGTACAGGATGGTGATACTGCTAAGGACTCCAAAGTGTGATTACAAGCCATTCGTCACATTTTCAGCGATAAATATTGTTGATTATTGAAAGTAATCATCAAAATAGTGATGAACATCAATAAGAGCTGTTGTGTTTGACCATCTTCTTGCAGATTTGTACTATGGAGGAGACACTTTTTCAGTAGAGCAGCCACAGTCATTCACATGTCCTTACTGTGGCAAGATGGGCTTCACAGAGACATCCCTACAGGAGCATGTCACCTCAGAGCATTCAGAGACTTCCACGGAGGTGGTGAGTACACTCACTGCACAAACGGAACTGCTCAGTAGACTTTTGTGTACTATTATAAGCTTAGAAATGTCCTCATTTCTCTAAGCATCCCCAGCATCCTAGTTTACCTCTGCTATCCACTGGGATGCTCTGAATTTAGTCATCATTGTAATTCTCAGTTACTACACTTCAGCTATTCAGTGACATTTTATGAGCATTCTCCACTGCTAAGCAAAGCAAGACAAAGGCTCAGGCTGCTCATACTGCTGACACCTGGCTGCCTAGTAGGTTGTCTGACCAACAGCTACTTGAGAGCGGGGGTGAAAAGATGCCATTGAAGCGTGTGACCAGAGCTAACTTATTATTTAACTTAGTATTTGTGTTCCTCATGACTGTTACTGCCAGATGAAATGGAAATTAAAATGAAGTCTTTTTCATTTTCAAAGCATTTTCCACTTTTTGATTGTTTAATTTATCCTGTACAGATTCATTTTCTGTAGCAATAAGGTTTTTATTTTTTTAATTCATACCAAGTGATTGACCACAATTTTCTACTCATTGGCCCTGACTGGTTAAAAAAGGTTAATGGCAATAGCAGTTTAATCAAGTATATTCTTTAGCCTAACAGTTAAAGCTTTTATATTTTTATATATATATATATATGTATGTGTGTGTGTGTGTGTGTGTGTGTGTGTGTGTATAAGTACCCTAAACCTTTTGTGAGGTAGAAGAGTTGCTGCCTGCAGACATGCCAGTTTGTATGATGAGCTCGATCTGTCTTTTTCAGATCTGTCCAATATGCGCTGCCTTGCCCGGAGGGGATCCCAACCATGTCACAGATGACTTCACAGCTCACCTCACTCTCGAACACAGAGCACCAAGAGATTTAATATCCTTTTCATTTAACCACACAATAGTGTCAAAATAAGCCTTTTTTTCTTCTACATGAATTGTTTTAAATAGCAAGATTCTTCTGTGTGTGTGCACATTGTGACCGAATTTAACCTTAACAGTCCTCCTTTACGATGAGTCCAGCAGTGTGCGGCATGTACGCAGGATGTTCCACCCCGGGCGAGGACTGGGCGGCCCCAGAGCACGACGGACAAATATGCACTTTACTAGCGGCTCCACAGGAGGACTTTCATCCTCCTCATCACAGAGCTCCACTTACACCCCCAGTAACAGAGAGGCAATGGACCCCATCGCAGGTGAGCATCAGGAGTTTACCCACAATGTTTGCAAAATGCAGAAATGTTCCCCAAAAAAGCACCAACATTAATTATACAGTCTAAGTGATATCCTGATGTTGGTGGTGTTCCTGGATTGTTGTAATTAATGTTGTCATTGCAAGTGATCAGTGACATTGTTATGGTGTCATAGTTTTGTGACGTGGGGAAAAAAATGTCCACTCAGGAAACCGTTGATCACATCCTAAACAATGAGGAAAAACTGGGTGGTTAGGATATGATCGTGGTTCAAAACCCTGTAGATCACAATCCAGTGCTGGTGGTTAACAGGAGCATTATTTTAGGCTTGTTGAGAATTTGCATCCCAAGTTAGTGAGATCTTGAACTTTTTCAAATAACCTTTAATTTTGTGTTACTATCTCGGGCCCATTTCACAGTGGCCATGAAGACACAACACACCGAAACCAAAACTCTTCATTCTGTATTCAATGCTGACTCAAGCTAAATTCCATCGCAGATACAAATTTTGGCAATCGTTGTGTAAAAGTGACCAGTCATTGAATGTGACATGTGAAAGATGCGCAAACAGAGAATGTAACATCACACACACGGTGAAGATAATGCAAAGTTTAAGTCAGGTTGGCCCAGATGTTAAAGAGGAGAAGAGTACATGCAGAAATATATGTGCTACGATCATTATAGCATCAAGATTACAGTATTTATTAAAAAAAAACAACAAATTAAAGTCAGACATTAGCGAGAAGAAGCAAAAGTAAAGGGTGTGCCTCATTTATAGATGGTTGTCAAGAAACAGTTTAGGCAGTCACATTTTGAAGTACCATATTTTGTTTTTAATCATCATACTGTGTTGCTTGCAAAAAAATGCACGTGACCGAATCTTTCTTCGTCTTTTTACGCTGTCTTTTAAAAGTCTGTTTAATTTAGAAACAAATAGTCATTTTTTTTTCTTCTTCTTCTTCTTTTTGTGTTTGTGTGCGCACGTCTCCTGCAGAGTTGTTGTCTCAGCTGTCAGGTGTGCGGCGTGCTGCAGGAGGGCAAATAAACTCGTCGGGACCTTCAGCCTCTCAGCTCCAGCAGCTCCAGATGCAGCTGCAGTTGGAGCGGCAGCAAGCTCAGGCGGCACGACAGCAAGTTGAGACGAGCCGACACGCGACGCGACGCGGCAACAACCCGGGCAACACCGGCGCCGCCGTCCCCCAGCCCAGCACAGCAACTGCCAACACCACCACCGTGGGTGAAAGCAATCCGGCGTCCTCGTCCCACAGCTCCCAGTTCCTATTAGCACGGTGAGTGGAGCAGGAGGTGGACTTTAGAGTTTGCCTATAAATCCATGTGTTTCTGCTAACAGACTGTCAGAACACAGATATCCAGCAACAACACATGACTGCTATAATAAAGTGTTTTGATAGTAAATAGTAAATTTGGTGATAACTGATGTTGGGAAGTAACTATTTATATTAAAACCATGTTCATTTTATAGTTTAGTAAGGTGCAGTGACTGAGGAAAAATATGTAACTGAATTATTTACGATGTAACTATAAAAGGTTACAGCTGGATACTTTTTTTTGGCCTATTTCCAGAAAAGAAGGTCAGCAAAGCTCTTGACACAAATTGAGTGCAGCACCATCAGCACCATCAGGGGCTGGATGGAAAGGAACCGTCTCTGTCTAGACGAGCTGCTTTCATGTCACAGTGTGTTTCTCAGATTTGATACTCTGAGGAAACGTCGACAGTCTGTCCAAAAGTCCACACGCCTCACATGTTATTTATGTTTAAACACTTATTGACTAAATTTACATGTGGATTTACATGTGGATTTACATGTGGATTTACATGTGGATTTTGCTCTATATGCATTTATGAATGTACAGCTTTGTATTCAGCTTTATTGCCCAGTTTGATATATTTGTCAGAAAACTATGGAGAAGAGTCACAGGATTAAAAAAGTAACCAATCCCCCTTTGCTTTTCTGTCTTGTGATAAACGAACCAAAATAAATTCTAGTAGAAAATAGTTCTGTGACTTGGTGCAGAAGACAGTATCGGAAATAATACTTCAGTGGATTGTTGATCATTTTTCCATTTCATGAACTTTTTAGGCATTAAGAAACAAAAATTGTCACCGAGCTTAAACGTGCAGACTGTAACCTCAGCAGAGTTTTTCTTACTGCTTTTAGTTAAAGTACTTCTTTGTACTGTAATACGTTTCTTACCTGTGTGAGTGTTAATGAATATAACCGTTCTGTAGGTTGAATGAACCCAAGATGTCAGAAGCAGAGCGGCAGTTCCTAGAAGGCGAGCGAGCCGACCGCAGCCTGTTTGTCCAGGAGCTGCTTTTGTCCACGCTGATGCACGAAGAGAGCTCCTCTTCAGATGAGGACGACCGCCGAGACTTCGGCGACTTTGGAGCGATGGGCTGCGTGGATATCATGCCTTTAGATGTGGCGTTGGAGAACCTCCAGCTTAAAGAGAGCAGCTCTAAGGGGAAGGAGCCTCCGCCGCCGCCTCTTTGATGTCCGAGCATCAAGCAGACTGTGTCCTCCGTGCTGCAACTGTCAGTGATGGGCAGCAAACAGCAGCAGCAGCAGTCCCCCATACCCCAGCCTACCCCACCCCCAGCCTCACCCCCTCTCCCTCCCCCCCGATTTTCTGAGTTTGTTTTTGGTGATTGTAATTTCAGGCCTGTCACCACATTTGTTATATTGTAAACAAAAATAAATGAGAGCAAGTGGGATAAATGTGTGAGTGCGCGACGCGAGCAAGTGAGCGAGAGAAGAGAACTATATAAATCTATATAAAATATATATGAAGTCGATAATCAATCCACATTACTTTTCTTTTATCAGGTAAATGTTACAGGCAGCTGTGGCAGACCTTTGCTTCCTGTGACATGAAAACGGCTCTCCGTATAAATACTCCACATTCAAAAAGTGAAGAGGGCACAGGCTCCTCTGATGAAGCTGCTGTGTGTGTTTATGACTATTAATAAATAAAGTGCTTGGATGGGTTACCATTAACTACCGCATGCAGTTATTTGCAGCGTGCATGACTTAATGACCCTGTCATTAAAACCTTTTCAAAATCCCAAAGCTCACAATTGTTAAATGATCATTTCTAGGGATGCACTGATTGTTTTGTTTAGTTTGTTTTTGCTTTCATGCTACATAAAATGAGGAACTCTCCAGTTTGAAATGCATAATGTCACATGACAGGCGAACAAAGGTCACTGCCGTCTTATTTAGAGACAGACTGTAATGCAGATACGTCGGTGCATCCCTGGTTATTTCAGACGTGGTTAAGTATTGAAAGTGTAGAAGTTTGACAAAGGCGGTGAAATCTGAAAGTCTATTTCGTCAGGTTTTCTTTGAAGTATTTAAAAAGGAGAAACGATTCGATTCTGCTGCAGTGTGTTTCTCAGCCCCGCTCTCGCCTTTTTTAGTCCATCAGAGGGAAACTAGAGACGGAAGAAAGAAGCTCCTCTCTGATTTTGTCTTTGTTTTTTCTAGCTGATATTGTTCAGCTATAAACTAAAGTCACAGTATACTTCTGAATTTATCGATGAGTGCAAAGTCCCGACTTCCTCCGTCATTCCTGTACAGGCTTCACACCGTTCCACATGCTTTTGATGCTCAATATCAGGACCTGGAGACTTTTCACGCAGGAGGTTTTTCTTTGTTTGGTTTTTGTTTTAATTTAACACCCTTTCTCTCTAAACTAGCACCTTCTATTTATTCATGTTTGTTTCCTGACTCTTTGGAGCCTTGATGTGGATCATGCCACCTTCATGCCTTTACTTTCATCCTCTATGTAAAAATGCAATGAGATGTATATTAAATTTTGTTGGTTAACTTTCATAACGGTTCTAAGACATGGGCAGATTTTTTTTTTTTAAAGATGTAAATTTAGAATACAATAAATAACTGCGCACAGCTTTTAATGAAAGCAAGAGACACTATGCCTTTTGCAGCTTGTCTTATTATTTCAGAAAAAACCCAAAGTCCCGGGATGGGAACGATAGCAGCTCTCCAGTCACTTTTTACTAATGAGATACCCATCTGATTGAGCTTTAATAAATCTAAATAACCACTGATTTAACCCTAACATTAGTCTGGATGTATCTGCCAACTAAGTGCATAACGTGTATAACACAGTAGTAATGAAATTAATAGTTTTTGATTAGGAAAAGTTCTATTTGACTAAAATGATCTGTATTGATAGTGTAAGGTTTCTAAAAAGGGTCTACCATTAATATACAGTACAAAAATGTGGTATGAAAGCTAAAGCACAGTTTGTCCATAATTCATTAAGCTATAAAAAGTTATTAAGCTTTAATCAGCTGATTAGCACTTCGCTTAATTCAGTTAATCAGGTGACTGAGGAATTTTATATATACTCTTCCTTGAAGAGGGTGTCGTTGGATTTGATGGATGTAGGGACCTAAAGGTGTGGACCACATCCACAGTGTGCCAAGGTAGGCTTCTAACACAACCACATGACATTATAAAAAAAAATCAGTGCTGTTCTTGTGCATGTGTGTGTGAGGCCCTCCAAGGCCAGCTGTCCTCGTCACTCCTCAGCAGTTATTGTTAGAAACAAATGGTGCCCATGGGATACTTTTCACGACACATGTTGCACTGCTGCTTCTTTTTAGAGTATCACGCCACCAAAAGCGACAGGTTAAATGTTACACTTCAGGAGGCAGCGTTAGGTTTATCCTGATGGGTCAGCGATTAGGGACGATACCTGGAATATTAAGTAGTGACTGACTGGGGAGGTGCCTTGAAGGACATGATGAATCTCTTTGAAGTCGGCTCTTTAGTTGGATGTTCTGCCAAACAGTGCTGTGGGAGTTACATAAGTACAGCCTGAGTCCAAAGAAGCCTCCACTCATCTACAAAAATACAGACAGCTTTGCACTCTTTAGTCTCTCAGTCAGGTGGTGACCTTATAGTTCCTACGTTTGCTGTGCACTTGTTGGCTGCTTTTCCTTCATTCTGCATCCCAAACTAACTATGCTGGGGTTTAGGTCACATGATGCAAATCTCCATCACTCCACTTCTTGATCAAAGATCCCTGGCAGAGCTGGGAGGTTTGCAGTTTTTCTGCAATGCTCTGGCACATTACTTGCAACATTTTTTGAAGTTATTACCACCAGAGATGCATTTCCCAAAACGGCTTATGCATGCAGCAAAAGGCTGTAACTCGCTCACAGCCTTTAATTCATGTTTCAAAAGGAATGAATGAATCTTTTAGAATAAAAATGTGAAGTTCCCGTTTCATTGCGTAAACAAAGGTGGTCAAAAAAGAGAAAGATTTTCAATTTTTTTTGACTTGTCAGTGTTCACTGACTGTTATTTTCTGATGATAACCTCTGTTTTGTTATTGTGCATCAGAGTGGACATCAGCATCGTCTATGGTCATAAATGGATGGACATGGTCAGCAACAGGTAGGCTGTGTCATTTAAACAGTGCTCAGTTGGTACTAAGGGTCCCAAAGTCTCCCAAGAAAATATTACACCACTACCACCAACTGTCAGATATTGATACAAGTCAACATAGAACCAAGCTTTTATTTTGTTTACATCAACTTCTGGCCCTACCACCCAAATGTTACAGCAGAAATCAAGACTCATCAGACCAACGTTTTTGGTGTGTCTGTCTTCATTTAAACTTGTTTTTCTGTTGATAGCTGACAAGAGTAGCACTCGGTGTGATCTTCTGTTGCTCTAGTCCATCACCTTCAAGGGTTGACGTGTTGTGTGTTCACAGATGCTCCTCTGCAAACCTTGGTTATAACAAGTGCTTATTTGTGTTACTTCTGCCTTCCTATCAGCTCAAAGCATTCACCTCAGACCTCTGACATCAGCAAGTTCTCCCTGCTGCTCACTACACACTTTCTGTGTAAACCATAGAAATGTTTGCGTGGAAAAACCAAGCAGATCAGCAGTTTCTGATGCCAACCGCACCACCTTCAGTTGCATTTCTTCCTCTTTCTGATGCTCAGTTTGAACTTTCATTCATTCAACAATTCATTTCCACTGTGTTTACATATCTAAATACGTTGGGTTGCTGCCTTGTGATTGGGTGATTGGATATTTGAGTTAGACATACATAACAAGGTTGCCAGTAAATATGAGTATCCACTAACAGCAGTATATTTCTGACAGAATACAAAGAAAAGCAGATGAGTAACTGTTCTCACTTCTAATCACTGAAAGATAAGCTAGCTGGATGCTGACAGATGTCTCATAGGTAGCACACAGATGTGATTTTGTTTTCCCAAAAGGTGTATTAATGTGTAATTGTGTACATCCATAGTGCCTTAAAAATCATTTCCAGACTTTATAAGAACCCTAAAGGGCAGAGACTGTACTGTAAGACATACCACCTTTATTAAATGCACAGTATCACAAGGAACATTTCCATTAATTGTGGATAAGCTACTCACATGATGCACAAAGCATTGGATTGATTCATAGAACTGTCTGATTAAAGCAGGATTAAATCTGCTAGGAGAATACACACACACACACTCAGATGCATACACGCTTAGATGCATACACACACACACACAGGCACACATCCTCTAGCAATCTGATGTATGTGCAAATACGCACACACACACACACACACACACACACACACACACAAATACATATACACTCTCTTAAGTTCACACAGTAAGTAAAATTTTGTTATCTGCACAGGAATGAAAAGTGTCATCTTTTTTTTTCTTCTTTTACTGTATATTTACAAAAAAATCATTAACACCCCCCTCGATATAGATTACATTCAAAAAAGGTCCCCACCCTTCTAGATTACATTCAAAATAATATACTATTCATGATGCAAAGTCACAGTTATTCATCTGAAAGAGGATCAAAATAGGCTACAGTCAGTCAGAGGGAGAGTGGTGGGGTTAGCCAGGAGGTAACTCTGACCTCCTCGCCACTGGCCACACATCTGCTGGGACACCTGTCGGGCCAGGAGAGTTCCTGATGTTTAGAGTCTGTGGTCGCTCCTGCGAGACAGGCAGCGTCTCAGACAGCCTCTGTGTGAGCTCCCCATCACAGTGGAGAGGAAACAGGAGATCATCTTCCTTCTTTTTTTTTCTTCTTCTTCAGAGAAAAACTTTTTTTTTCAATTTCTTTTTTCAATTAAAGTCCTCTGTAGATCAAAAATTGCCAAAAAAAACCACAAAACAAAACAAAAAGGAGAAGATTGTATTTTCACCGCTATTATGAACAAGCACAAAGAAATTATACAATGTAGCACAAATCAAATTGTATTTACATATAGTATGTATTGCCAGTGGCCCATAACACGTTGTCTTCAATAGCTGTCACACAGTTTTGACATGATACCTGCTTAAAACGGATTATACTATTAAACATAGCCTACTATTCATATAGACAAATATCAGAACTGTACAGAATGGAGAGCTGCTTATGTACAGCGGACAGGTGACTTATTATTGAAGAACGCTGTGAGAAAAAACATAGGGACAAACACACAGACACACACACACAAACTGGGGTTTTTCTGTGCAATCATGGATTTTCTTTTCTTTCTCTTACAGCTGACAGCTGAGACCGAGAAGGAGGGAGCTCAGTGCTAAGGTTGTGCATTGGAGTGTTGAAGTAATGCTACAAATTGCACTTAACAAAAAGAACTTATTGTCTCACTGCTTTTACGCCTCCGCATGAAAGATTCCTGCTGATTTTTTGTTGATTTTTTTTTGTTTTTTATGCAAAGATTAGGATGAAACTTGCACTGGACGCTCGCACCATGGTTGCTCTTTTAGCCTCTTTTTTAATATCAGGACAACAAAACAATTGAATATAATACAAGAGTGCATTCTGAAACCATTTACTGCCTGTACAAATCACCACCGTCCTGGATGAAGAGCTGTCAGCCAGTCACCACATGGCTGGCTGGGGCAGTGAGGAGAGATGAAAGCACCCCTGGGACATTTTAAGGGCAATCAGACTCTTAATTAATGCTTTTACTGCAGTCTCATAGCCGACTACATGGAATTGAAAATGACGATCTTCAAAGTGCACTCTTAATCCATACAAAGCCCGGTACATAACCTAAATAAAAAAAAGAGCACCCCTGACATCTGAAAACCTCCCATGATGGAAACCAAACCACGTCACGTACCAGAGATTTCAGAAATGGCATTGCTGGTTGACAAAAAAACAACCTGCGCCGCCGGGTCCCCCATCCTCTGTGCTTTAGGTAAATGAATGAACGAAAAGGAAGATTTGGAAAACAGAGCTGCACCCTTTCAAATGTCCCACTGAACACTGATGGCCTTCTTTCAAGAGGAAAAGGTATTTACAGAAAAGACGTGAAGTCGGGAAGCGCCTCAGAGGACCAGGATTGAAATCTGTGAGCCATGGATTTCAGTCAGCTTGCAAATTCTCTACATATTAAAAAAGTCTGTGGCGTACGACACATTTAGCTTCAGCTGTGAACTAAGAGGTTATTTTGTGTTATAGCAGAATAGGCGAGACACTGCTGAGAGAAGAAAATTAGCTATCTACAAGCATGTATCCATAAACTGTCCATCACAAAGAGACACATTGCACGTCCCTTTGTTCATTTCCTGCTTATGGAATACAAGAGGGAAGTGATTCGATGCGGTGAGTGCAGACAGGGCGAGCTGTCTATTGGTCTCTTTTTGTGCCTTTTACATACACTACGCCACATGTTTTGGAGCCCTAATGGTACGGGATCCTCTCTGCATTTTGGTTTCCACTTTGTGAAGCATGCCTCAACAACATCTGCAAATTTAAAAGAAAAGCAAAAAAAAAAAAAAAAAAGCCCCAAAAAACAAAACAAAGAAAAAAACAACAACCCAAAATTCACTCAAAAACCGTAAGGCTTTTTTCTCCGTGTGATGAGGACAGGAGCATTTACAGTTACATTTACAGCCGGGGTTTCTGTACACAGATGCGCTCGCGCAGCCTCCGCTTCCTCCTCCCCTTCCCCCCAGTTCCCGTCGTGTGCAAACACACAAACACTTGTCCACATTATGAAGCACACATGCACACGCAGTACATCACACGGACGCAGTGGCGCGTCAGCCCAGTATGTCCAGGTATACGGGCGAGGCTTTGGCCAGGCTCTGGAGCGTGCTGTGGATCTCCTTGATGTTCAGCCTCATGTAGGGCTCCCTCTGCCAGCAGCCCAGCATCAGGTCGTAGACCTCCTTAGGACAGGTGCGGGGCCGCTGCAGCACTCGGCCCTGAGTGATGCACTCGATCACCTGGGGAAAAACATTGGTTGGTTTGTCAAAAAGAAGCTGATTTGTCTACTGTCACATAATAATGTGGTTTGATACAAAAAAATCTCTGCGGCTGGGAAGCGTGCGGGAACCAAATTGCACGTCCAGTTTATTAAAGGACGGCCTCGACATTTGGATAGCACAGACTGTATACAGAGGTTTAAGCCCTAAGCTCACCTTTTCCAGGAACATTTTCAAAAAGATTTAGGTTTAAAAAAAGAATGCTGCTCATGAGCAAATAGTCTTTGTAATTCCAAAGACTTACATTTTAGGAGAGCTCCCACAATATGTGCCGGAAAAGGAAGATGCTTTTACATTTTCTCATTCAGTGTAGTGTATGTCATCTCAAGGGCAGGCCATTCATCAAGATTTTTCTTTGGTTTTATTTCTTAACACATGATATTAATTTCCCCCATCTGAAAGGAAACTATTCTGTTTACCGGAATAGTGCACAGTATCTTAAGCATCTTTGTTCTGCGCTTCCATGAAGTTCTGAGGATTTTAAAACCAAAATGTTCAACAGTAAAGGGTCGCCAACCTTCAGTAAGATTTCATTAGTCATTTCCTATTATGCAGCTAGCTGTGCCGTGTCATATTCTGATACAGATGTTAGCTGTTATGGGGTTCTGACTTCAAAAAGGGTTCATGTCAACTGAGACATGGGACACCGGAGTGCTGCACTGAAGTCTGGAGTCTGTCATCATTTCTTCCAGTTTGGAGCCAGAGTTTCTCGTAATTTTTTAAAAGGTGTTGTGAGCAGTGTGTTCTTAAGAAATCTGAGGAAATTGGACAATTGGAGGGCAGAAGATAAAGTGTCACTCCTAACAAACTATCTACAGCAGATAAAAAGTATTTCAAAGTTGTGTCCTTAAAAAATAGGAAAAGAAAATCTAGTGAAGACCTGGAAAGAGTTTGATTGTCAACATCTTCATTTTTCAGCATGCTATTGAGCCCCAAAACACTACCAATGCAGTAAAAGCATACTTGGATAGAAAAGCACACATCAGTCATGGACTGGCCTCCACAGTGCCGGACCTCAACGTTGTTCAAGCAGTGTGGGGTCAGCTTGACAGAGAACAGAACAAAAGGTAGCCAACATCCAAAGAAGAGCTCTGAATTTTGAATTTGGTTCTCACGCAACATGCTTTGATACAACTCCTCTAGAGGCAGGACTGTTTTCAGTCACACTGTTTTACAGTGTTTTTATATAATCAGTGTTATTCATCATGACCTGTAAACTGTGTTAAAGCAAGGTTATATCAGTTAAGGGTTATCAAAGTGTGCCACTGTGGCCCTCGTGTTTTTGTGTGTGTGCAGCCCGACTGAATATAGTAAAAGAAACTGTGCTGTATATTTCAATCAAACACAGTTCAAATCATGCTAAATTACAGCTGTGTAGAGTTGTTATTTGCTGATGTATCCACTTTAAAATAAATATAATGTGAAGAAATGTAACAGACGCCTCACTGATGATTCAAAATAAACCACCATCGCTTAAACGGACTTCTATCAATCTGTCTCTTTGTACCAGTATTTTGAGTTTTGTTCTGGACTCCATATTTATTTCTTTTAAAGTATAAGATAATTTATGTTCTAGTTCCCGAGGATGTTATTTTCTAGTGCCTCTGAGTTTTAAAATCTAGTTTTAGGATGTTAATTACCCTTTGGTTTCCAGTCTGTGTCCTTTGTCTCTGTGTTCGTTTACCTTCGCTCTCCCCAGTCAGGTCCTCATGTCTTTTTGGTCTCTCTGTCTTCATGGCTGTCTGTGTTCCCTGTCTTGTCTAGTTAATACATTTGTCGTCCTGGTCCTTGTGTTTTTTCCCTTTCTGTTCTCGTGTCCATCTCTCTGTATTTTTTGTCTTTTTGTCTCGCCAGTCTGTCATGTCTCCTTGTCTGTTTATCCCAGTGTCAAGTCTCAGTGCATGTGTTACTTCCTGTTTTATTTTCCACTTTTATAGTCCACTATCTTGTGTGCCTGAAGTTAAGTTTTGCTTCCTTTGTCTTGTTTGCTTTGATTATGTTAAACTGTGTTCCCATCTACTCCCTCTCCTCTACTTCCTTTAACCACCCTCCTGTGTATATATTGTCTACCCTCTCCCTCTGTTCTTCATCGTGTCCTCTCTTGTGATGTTTACAGCCTCTGTCTGTGTGTTCCCGATCAGCCTAGTTTTTGTATATGGCTTCTGTTTTTCTTGCCTTTTTACCAGCAATAAAGCTGTGATATTGAGTTTTATATCTGTCTGCTGAGTCTGGCATTCTGTTTCCACACCCTGCCTGCCAGCAGCAAAACCAAGCGAACTCCAGACAGACCATTGAGTCCACCAGAGGGATAATGGGAATTAAGGTGCACGACTACAGCCTACATTCATTAAATTAATAGACCAGAATGTCAGTCTGGGCTTCTAAGACATGTGGGTCAGGAATTTAATGCTTTGCTTGTGGTGCTAAAGAAGCTTTCAGTCAGCTTACTGTTTAATAAATAAATGACTAGTTTTGGAATGATTTTGTTTATTGGTCTTCACCACTATACAGGCTCCGCACTGGCACTCTGCCATCAAAACTTGTGAGAAGCATGCTATGAATGAATTCTTACACAGCTCAGATTACTTTCATTAATGGAATACTTCTTTTACTCCACCAAGTAATTCTCAAGTATTGAAATAATTGATTAGGTAGGCATTGTGCTAGAATAGGAATAAAAATATGCTGACACTAACATTTATTCACAGTCTCTGACTTTTTCTGCCACAGTGCTTATATGGAGACCAATGAATGTGAAGTGTAGGGTTAGGTTGAAACGCTGTCTGACCTCATTGTTAGAGAGCTGGTACCATGGCTGCTTGCCGTAGGTGAAGATCTCCCACAGCACCACGCCGAGGCTCCACACGTCACTCTCTGTGGTGAACCGCCGGTACATGATGCTCTCCGGGGGCATCCAGCGGATGGGCAGCATCGTATGACCGCCCACCTGCACAAAAAACGACACAACAACATTCATGAGAAACCAACACTGCAAGATCTGCTAAAGAGTTCAAAGCTGCTGAACATACTGTCTTTATTGTTGTTTACTGTTGTTATAATAATGGGGGACTGTCAATAGATGTCAGTGATCGTGAAAAAAACACATCGTTGTAGACTTTGTAGTCTTGCTATGGTACAATAGTTTGTTGTAATCCATTTATAATACATGATCATGTTTACTAGAAACACCAAGCTGCAACCAATCATTCTGCAAGAACAGCCCTGCAATAAATCTAAATTCAGGAAGGTTAAAATGTTCACAATATACATGCAAATCATAAAAAGTGCTTAAAAAACACTGATGTCTGATAGCTTAAAAAGCTAACACGAATCTTAAACCCCTTTAAAGCCTGAACCATGAAACCAGAACATATTTAATGTTTACTGAACCTTCTAACAACTTTATTAAAAAATGAATTAAATACTAATTTACATATATGTGTTTAATTTTTAATCATCACACTGATGATATACAAGTCTCAAAAGCTTCCCAAAGCTCATGCATCACATATGATGCGCTAGACATCACGGGTTAAGGTTAATGTGTATGATTTTTTTCTTGTCTGCTATTTATGATGATGAAAACGATTCTTTGTGTCAAATTAACAAAGATTATCCGGCAAATCCTCACTGCAATATTAACTTACACAAACCTTAAATAACCCCAAATAAATATTTGAACCCTAAATTAAGTAGCACCACTTTCGAGACATGTCGTTCATTCACCTATTTTCTGGTGCACATCCAGGTCTAGCTTGCTCAAGTGAAGCATATAAACAAAATGATCAGGATTTGCTGGTAGGTCTGCTGTTAAGATCATTTTCATGATCAAACAGCAAACTTGCCAGAAGCTGGAAGCCTCAAACATTTGGTCTCTGTGCATGAATAACAAATAATCAATAACTGAATGAAGTGCAAATCAGAGTCATTAACATGGAAGAAAATCTAGATGGCAAAACAAAGATTATTCAAGAGTTCTTTAGTTGAATGCTTTTGTAGCTCCAAGCCTTCTAACTGGTGAAGTTCATATACTGGTTCGCTCACCGGGATTATATCAGCGCGTCTGAAACTGTGGGTTGCCAAACTGGTCGGGCATGAAACAATGCACAGGAAGTATGGAGTTCCAGATGAAAGGTGTACTGGGATTGCTGTGAAATAAACTAGCAAGAAGTTTATTAGCTCTGTTCTGTTGATCATGTTTTTGTTGTTGTTGTTTCAAAGGTGGGTGTGCATGAAAACAAACTGAGAACCACCATATTCATAATTTAGTGTTGCGTATAATAAGCTTACTGCTTACTGATTACTGAACACAATAACTAATAATAATGGTAGAAGTACTAGAAATGATACTAAATTCATATTAAAATTGATATATATATATATATATATATACATATATATATTTATAACAAATCATGTGACTAATCCTTCTACCTAAGAAGAAGGACGAGGGAAGAAGGAAGGCAGTTCTAAAGGTAAAAGGAAGTACAACCCAGTACTAAAAATATGTATTGCTGGGTTAAGTGTCTGGTTACATGTGACAATTTGATGATTTGTTTCTGTTAGCCTATTTGGCTAATTTATGTGGCATTGGGAGATTAATTTGGTGAACCACGCAGACATCCCCTCCATTGTTTTTAATCTGTTTTAATGCAGTCTGTCAACCACCAATCCAACTGTGGGGCACAAATATAAAATTCTAGCAAACTATCAAAGGTTTCACTCATGTCTGTGTCTTCACTCATGTGAAAATAATTAGTGTGATTGAAGGTAACACTTGCTCTAAGTGCATGTGTAACGGGACTGACTTCTGACTTCCAAAGTAAGCAAGTGAAACAGGATCCTGGTGCCGTTCGCTTTGCTAATGTGTTTGATAACGGGATTTGGTGGGAACCCCTCTTAAAGGGGATCTTATTAGATGCAGGAAAATGCATCTTGGAATTGATTTACAGTAAGTCTTCACATTTCTGACTTCACTTTGGGCAGCAGAGGGCACTGTGGGATTCACGCTGGCATGTGAGACACAATGAAGGAATAAAATACATGTATCAACTCAGTGTTATTATTAACATGATAGTTTTGTTTCTTTGACCTCCATTGTTTTTATACAGATTAGAGAAATTGCATTTAAACTGCAATAAAAAAAGATACAATGATCGTCATTCTTGCAGCTGCACAGTTTTTTAAGAGCAAACCTGGAATTAAATTTGATCAGTTCCACATTTTTTGTGTATAATGAGGTGAAGTGAAGTAAGGGAAGAAAGGGGAAAATATCTAAAATCCTTACTCTGTAGTAGTCTGAGCTGTAAACATCTCTGGACATGCCAAAGTCTCCTATCTTGACCAGCAGGTTTTCTCCTACCAGGCAGTTCCTTGTTGCCAAGTCTCTGTGGACAAAGTGCTGGGAGGCCAGGTAGACCATGCCAGCAGCAATCTGTTGGGCAATGTGCAGCATCTGGGACTGAGTGAGCTCCACCAGGATGCTGTGTTGACCGTCTGCCATGAGCACTGCATCGGGACCGTGGGACCTGCACCCAGTAACCGTTGCATAGTTTAGAAAATAATGCAGCAGCATGAACCATTCTGTCACTACTGTAATACATGAATGTGATGTTAGCAATCAACTAACTAATTAACAAAATATTAACCTGAAATTATTTAACATTTTTCTCACCAAGTAAAAGAATACAAAAAAATTTACAATACAAACTTCGTTCTAGCCTCCCAGTCTTGATCATAATGTGATGTTTCTATTAGCTGTATTTTTCTTTGGGTTCTAGACTGTAGACTGCAAATAGCACAAGTAGTGCATTACCTTGGTCTGTGAAAATATACTGTAATAGAGAGTCTCAGTATTTTCTTGCATTTTGGGAAAAAATATTCAAGAAAGTGATTATTTTATTGATCACTGATATAGTGATTAGTCTCACACTCGTACTCAGTAAATTCAGTACAATCACACAGTGTGTGTTATAATATTGACCGGACTAGAAAATGAAGACGTAAAATTGACATTACCGTCTTGAGCTTTTTTTTTTTTTGTTACATTTGATTTTAAAAACATATTTATCAAAGTTAGAAGCTACAAAATAAACATACAGGTAAGAGAGAATTATTTGAAACTGTTACAATAGGTCTAGGCTGCTGATGGCATCCCATGACGCACTATACGCAAATTTGGATTTGACTATTAGTTTTTACCAATCTCTGACTCTCTGTCTGACTCAATGTCGTTTTTTATCCTGTCTTCATCCCCTCACCCCCAACTGGTCACAGCAGATGGCTGCCCTTCCCTGAGCCTGGTTGTGGCGGAGGTTTTTTCCTGTTAAAACTGAGTTTTTCCTTCCCACTGTCGCCAAGTGCTTCCTCGAATGGGGTCAATTAATTGCTGGGGATTTTTCTGTATTATTTTATGGTCTCAAAATTACAATATAGAGTGCCTTGAAGTGACTCCTATTGTGATTTGGTGCTATATAAATACATTTTAATTGGATTGTTTCTTGTTACAAACTCGTCCTTTCGTTTTCATGTTACTTTATTCCTTTTGATTTCGAGTCCCCAGTAACGTTATTATTTCCATACAGCATATACAGCCGCTTGTTAATGTAAATACTTAATCAGCCAATCACATGGCAATAATTTGTTACATTTAGGCATATAGACATAGACGTTATAACCAAAGTACACAGAAGAGCATCTCAATAAGTGTAATTTTGAAGTAGATGGACTACAGCAGCAGAAGACCACATTGGGTGCCACTCCTGTCAGATAAGAACAGGAAACTAATGCTTCATGTGGGCTCACCCAAAATTAGATAATAGAAATTTGGAAAAGCGTTGCCTGGTCTGATGAATCCAATTCCAAATGGTAGGGTCTGAATTTGGTGTAAACAACATGAAAAGCTTTGATTCATCCTGCTTTTATACCAGCAGTTCAAGCCACTGATGGCGATGGAGTGGTGTGGTGAATGTTTTCTAGACACACATGGACTCTTCGGTATCAATTTATTTATAATTTAAATGCCACAGCCTACCTCCATCCCTTCATGACCACAGTGTACCCATCTTCTGTTGGCTGCATTTAGCAGGTTAATGTGCCATATCATAAAGCTCAAATCATCTCAAACTGACTTCTTGAACAGAACAAAGAGTTCATGTAAGCCTACTCAAATGGCCTCCACAGTCACCAGATCTGATTCCATCATGCGTCATGGATCTGCAGCAACTGTGTGATGCTATCATGTCAATATGGACAGAAATCCCTGAAAAATGTTTCCAGCACCTTGATGAACCTGTGCCATGAAGGATTAAGGCACTTCTGACGGTAAATGACTAGCTCTTACTCAGCACTTTCTACTCTAACTCAGCACTCAAAGCAGTTGTTGCTACAAGCTTCATTCACCCAATCACACACATTCAAACAAGCACCTTGTCTAAAAATTTCACACACAAATGCATAGAGAAAAACTCAGGGACCAATATCTTGCCCAAGGAAACTTTCACATACAGATTGGAGTAGCTGGGGATTGAACCTGTGACTTTTACATTGGTATATAACCAGCTCTACCTCCTCCACAGCCAAGGCCGAGACACAACAGTGAGAAACAACAGAAAGGGGATCTAACCCAGTCCTAGCAATGTGCACTTTATTGATTTGCTTTTATTCCTTTTGTATTATACAATATTTGGGGGTTTTTTTTAGCACGTGTTATTTTTAATTATTTCTTTTCACTACATTTGTGTTATGTTGTTATCAGCCTGTCAGTCCTTACACAAACCATTTGACATGCACTGATCTGCATGAGAGGTACCACAAGTAACTGATTAGTAACAGATACCAATAGAAGATCTAAAGAAGCTTACCTGAGGAACTTGTTGAGGTCCCCGTGTTTCATATATTCAAACACCATGATTAATGGGTCACTCTCTACGCACACTCCGTAGAAGGTGACGATGTGCTCGTGCTGCAGGTTGGTGAGGAGCTCAGCCTCTCTGTAGAAGTCTGCTCGGCCGCTCTCGCTGGCCTCTTTCAGTGTCTGAAACAAGACAGGGACAAAGACGAGAGGCAAACGGTGAGAAGCATTATCTGCAGGAACGTACATCTAATCACTAGGATTTACTGACTGACTGTCAAGTTCATTGATCGTTTGATCTGTACCTTGACTGCCACGTGGATCTTCTCCTGGTCTGGTGTTAGGTTGTAGCATTCAGCGAGAAAGACCTTCCCAAAGGCTCCTTCTCCCAGCTCCCGCTTCAGCACAATGTTGTGTCGCTTGATGTGCTGGACAACTTTAATGCAGAAGAAGTCAAATCACCCTCAAGGTTATGTGCACATTGGGAATTTAAGTGGACATTTTTGGTGCATACAGAACATTTGTCTTCACTAATCTCACAACAGACAAGCACGCGTCTTCAGACTGCATCATTTATGTGATGGCAATTCAAAAACTGAAAGATATTTAAATTAACATGACAGAAAACATATATATTTAGCAAATTGCATAAGTTAAAAAGGGACTTAAATACTTATCTAAACTATCTGTTTTTACAATTCAATACTTTGTGTAGATTCATAAAGTATAAAATATAAAACTGCTGAGTTAAGCCCTTTGTCAGAGCTTGTGTTCCTGCACATCTCCTGTGGTCCAACTATCCAGCCGGTCTAAGGAACTGGAGTCACTATCACAGTGCAGTAGGATGCCAAAAATAAATATGGCGCCTAGCAGCGATCCCTGCATGGATTTATCAGAAAAGGCCCAGGTTACCCGGCATTTGTCGAACGAGGCAGTAACTCACACGTGTTGGATTTCAGCATGCTGCCGGAGTTACGGAAGTACTGGGGGTTCTCGATGACAGGAATCTTTGTCATTCCAATGATCACTGCGTCTGGACCCATCTCTGAGGATGACGGGGTGTTGTTGCCATTGGAGACATGATGGAGAGGGCTGGCAGAATCATCGTCATTACTGATAACTGAGGAGGAGCCTAGAGAGCCACAGAGGATGTGGAGAAGGAGGAGAAGAGAAAGACAGCGCAAAGAAGACGAAGAAGAGTAAAGCTGTTAGCCATAAAGGAAGGGGAGTAGAAAGGAGTTGCAGGGTGAAAAGAGATTGACAGAGGGATCACAAGTTATATGAAGTATGTCAGATTACAGATTATAGGCAGGTTTACTGAATAATGTAAAAGGATGAGCTCAGGCCAAAGCAGAGCTCACTAATTCCTGTGGTAATTTCCATATTCACACAGTAGGAACAGCACAGGGCCAACGCTACTGCTTACTTTCAAACCCCTGATATGTCATTTACAAAAGGTACATAATAACTAGATTCATATTTTATGATATAGGTGTAAGGAGATATTAGGACATTCTAATGTTTCATTAACATTAAGTGAGAACAAATGCTTATAATGCTTAATAACACACTGAATGGCTTCTGTGTATGTGTTATACACTGTTATTGAAGGTTCATGAGCTGTTTATGCATCAGTTATGAATATTAACAAGATGTTGAAATTGCTGAAAAAAGTCATACTAAATAGTTAGAATTTTGTTCTAAGTGTTTTAGATTATGCACCATGCTGCTTAGCACAAAGACTGGAAACTGTGGCTGCATGGCACCAGATTTTACTGGATAGTTAGCTGCCAGCTGTAACATCATTTTAGTGGTGATAAGTACAAAAAACAATAAACAAACGAGGAAAAGGAAATTCAACAAATGTAAAAGCAAAAAACAAAACAAAGTGTACTAGAACAAACACACGAAATCTGACAAATTATTCAAATCTGAAATCTGGTATAGCAAATCTGCTTGATTATGATGAGAGAAAACTGACTACATGAAAGAATATTATCATGCCATAACAGGTGATCAGAGCTAATGGTAGTAAGAAAATTATATAAATAAATACACACATGAAAAAAGAGCTTGCAGTCAGTATATGGAGGGAGACTGGGAGGGTTAGGATGATTACAGTTAAGGCAAGATTTTAGTTGCATGTCTTAACTGGCATTAGGTGACAGAATTGAATTCAAATGTTTTTCTTGCCTGCATAATCGTTTATTTGGTTATATCATCTGGTCCACAAGTAGTCGGATGATGACACTTTAAAAAATAATTTTGCCTCTGTACAGCACCAAAGTGGAAATCAAATAATTGCTATGTGATTAAAGTGCAGACTTTCAGCTTTAATTCGACGTTGTTTTTTTTAAAGCATCACTTTAACTGTTTAGCTAAAGTCTATTTCAGGAATTACAGAATTACAGATAGTCCTCCCAGTTTCAGCGGCTCAAAAGTAATTGGACAATTGAGTTATAAGCAGTTTCATAGGCATTTGATGTCTGTTCCCTTATTATTATTTTGTGATAAATGAAGGAGATAAAACATATGGAGTGGATGCATTTAGTAGCTGTTCACTAAAACTCTGAATATGAAGTCCCAAGAGATGTCTATTCAAGCGAAAGAGGCTATCATTAGCCATCTCAACAATCTGGTGCATTCTTAACAGGAAGGAATTGACTGGCCAGCAACACCAAAAATCCCTGAAAGACCACGGAAGATGACTAAAGTGGATTGTTTCAAAGTTAAGTTTCCTTTGTTAAAAAAAACTCCTTCACAATGACTAACAAGTCAAAAAACACTCTTGGGGAGGTTTGGAAAAAATTTACCCTCAAGAGAAGGCTTCATGAATGGAAATGCAGTGGTTTTACAACAAGGTTACATTCAAGAACAGGAAGGGCAAATTAAACTTTGCCAGAAAACATCTAAAATAAAAACTTCTGGGAAAAAAGGTTTTGGATACATGGAACCAAGATTAACTTGTACCAGAACTATGAGTCAAAGCATACTGCTTTTTCTATCAAACATAGTACAGATAACGCTATAGCATGGGCAAGTATGGCCACCAGTACAACTGACTCACTGGTGTTTAGTCATGATGAGACTGCTGATAGAGGCAGCAGGATGAATTGTGATGTTTACAGGGCTGTACTCTCTGCTCAGATTCAGACAAATGCTGCAAAACTGATAAAGTGCAAAGTGCAAATGGATAATGACCTAAAGGATAGTGCAAAAGAAACCTAAGAGTTTCTCAAGGCAAAGAAATCAGATATCCTATAATGGCTGAGTTAGTCATGTGATCTCAACCCAATAGAGCACGGTTTCTAGTTACTGAAGACAAATCTGAACGCAGACAGACCCTCAAACAAGCAGCAACTGAAACTGGCTGCATTAAAGGCCCAGCGGAGCATCACAAGGGAGGAAACACAGGATTTGGTTACATCCATGGGTTCTAGACTTCAGGCAGTCTGACTACAAAGCATTAAAAACAATCCTCATAGTTAAAATGATCTTAGTTTGTTCATTTTGAGCTTCTGAAAACTGGAGACTCTATACTTTAATGCTTTATTAGAAGGCGTTGGATTACAGGTGAGATGTCACACTTCAATCACATAATGTTTGATTTAGTCCAATGTGGTGGTTTATATACAACCCCCCCCC